GCCCAGGTGAGCTCCAGGTAACTCAGGTGAGTCCTGGGAGCACCTGAAGAACCCAAATCTTGATCTGGAGCTCATCAGGGACTCACCTGGAGCTCACCTGGTCGGATTTTTCCGGGTTTTTTTTTTGCTTTTTAACGCCTCACCTGTCACTCAGGTGTGCTCAGGTGAGCTCCAGGTAACTCAGGTGAGTCCTGGGAGCACCTGAAGGATCCAAATCCTGACCTGGAGCTCGTCTGGGGCTCACCTGGAGCTCACCTGGTCGGATTTTTCAGGGTTTTTTTCCTTTTTAAGGCCTCACCTGTCACTCAGGTGAGCCCAGGTGAGCTCCAGGTAGCTCAGGTGAGTCCTGGGAGCACCTGAAGGACCCAAATTATCACATGGGGCTCACCTGGAGCTCACCTGGTCAGATTTTTCCGGGGTTTTTCTTGCTTTTTAACTCCTCACCTGTCACTCAGGTGTGCTCAGGTGAGCTCCAGGTAACTCAGGTGAGTCCTGGGAGCACCTGAAGGACCCAAATTATCACATGGGGCTCATTTGGGACTCACCTGGTTGGATTTTTTCAGGGTTTTTTTTGCTTTTTAACCCCTCACCTGTCACTCAGGTGAGCCCAGGTGAGCTCCAGGTAACTCAGGTGAGTCCTTGGAGCACCTGAAGGACCCAAATTATCACATGGGGCTCATTTGGGACTCACCTGGAGCTCACCTGCTCGGATTTTTCCGGGGTTTTTTTTGCTTTTTAACCCCTCACCTGTCACTCAGGTGAGCCCAGGTGAGCTCCAGGTAACTCAGGTGAGTCCTTGGAGCACCTGAAGAACCCAAATCGTCACATGGGGCTCACCTGGAGCTCACCTGGTCGGATTTTTCCAGGGTTTTTTTGCTTTTTAACTCCTCACCTGTCACTCAGGTGTGCCCAGGTGAGCTCCAGGTAACTCAGGTGAGTCCTGGGAGCACCTGAAGGACCCAAATCATCACATGGGGCTCATTTGGGACTCACCTGGTTGGATTTTTTCCGGGTTTTTTTTGCTTTTTAACGCCTCACCTGTCACTCAGGTGAGCCCAGGTGAGCTCCAGGTAACTCAGGTGAGTCCTTGGAGCACCTGAAGGACCCAAATTATCACATGGGGCTCACCTGGAGCTCACCTG